AATATCAGAACAGAGAATATTTTTTTTCTTCTTGAACTTCTTCTCACGTTCATCTTCTTCCTCTTCAATGTCTTCTCTTCTGTTTTGATAACGATTCTGATAAAATCTTTACATATAAGACCGGCCTTTAGAACCCAAGCCTCGGTGGTCGAATGGTTGGTGAACAGACAAAACTTGATCTCACCCCTGATTCAATTCACGGTATGGGTATTAGCGGCTTAAAACGAGTCCGACTCGCGGACTGCTTCGTGAGGGAGCCTATATTTTTTCGAGTCGGACTCAAAATATTTGATTCCAGATTGGCTTGCAAAACAGTAAAAAAAAAAAAATTTAAAAAAATTAATATTTTTATATATATATTTAAATATTTTTATACATAAATAATATTTTTATTATATATTTAGTTTGTTTTGTTGAAAAATTTAAATATGTTTTAAATATTTTTTAATATTTTAAAATTTTATATATTTAGCGTGTGGACCGTCTCGTTTGGCTCGCAGGTTTAGATGATTTGGATTAGGATGATCTATTTTTGGCTCATTAGAAAATGGGTCGGATTGGACTAGGCTAAAATTTTCCAACATCAGAATGAGTCGGATTGGTCTGGGTCGGACCAGCCCGTTTTACACACCTAATGGGTACGGTCGGGGATGTTGTAAGACAGTAATTTGTCTGGTCTTTCCTTCGGTCCTGCGGGAAATGCAATTACGTCGGATGCCCGGTAAAATTTCGGATCATCCCCCAAAAGAACGGCTTTTAGTCCAAAACAAGAGCTTGGGTCCGAATATCTGAAACTATATAATAGGAAAAGGAATGGAGGGGGAATGTCTTTTCCGAAAGGAAGAGAAACGCTGAGGATCATCAGACATCTCCTCGTCTTTTTCAGACATTTCGTGTTCTTGAGCTTGGAACAAGAACATGGCGTGCCTAACCTAAAGAAGATGAAAAACAACGCAAAGACATTTCCTGTTCTCGAGACATGCATGCACACACACACACGCACATTCTATATTCTTTATTCTTGGATTACGGCACTGTGTGGCTTTTTGGATTTGCCCATGTGACCGTTGAAGTTAGGCTCGAAACATGTTCTGCTTCAATATCAAAACGCATATGTAGGGAGAGAGAGAGAGAGAGAGAGAGAGAGAGAGAGAGAGAGAGAGAGAGGATAATTTCAATGTCGTAATCCAATAGAATTCTGGAGCGCTATTACATGTGATGAGGGTTCTAAGTCCTCGCTCTATAATTAGAACATGTTCTGTATATCTTTTGTTATTATTAATGTCTTTATAATCTGTATATCTATATAATCAATCAATCTCTGTAATTAAAAGTTTTTTTTTTATATAAACAACTTATACATTTTTTAGTATAATATCGACTTTCAATAATAATTTTATACAACTTCATCGAATGCTATCATAACCTTCTTCATACAAAGGGGCAACAAAACAATTATATGATTATACAAGATTTATTTTTCCACTAATTTGCCTAACGATAAAAAAAAATCTAAATAGGGAGAGACAATGAGATGAAATCTCAATGAAAAGACGAATTAGGAGAGCAAATCTAATACCAAGTAAAAACCAAACAAAATTTAATAGATACTTGCACAATAAAAGTGGCTGTAGTTTAGTGGTTAGAATTCCACGTTGTGGCCGTGGAGACCTGGGCTCGAATCCCAGCAGCCACACTGTTTTTCAATTTTTTTTTTGTTTTAAAAATATTTTATAATGTAGTGACGGGAATAATATGGCTAGTTTATTGTTTTTTTCTTTTGTTGGGCTTGTTCTTTTCAAGATTAATATTCTTGACGGCGGGAGATTATCCGTTTGCTGACGGAGAAAATCCGCCGTTAGGCTTGGAGAACGGTATGCCATACCATTGATGTAAATGAATCGGATCACACACTTACTTCCATTTAATTAATTATATTTAATTTTTATAGAAAATTTGTTAAATTTTAAATAAAACTGTTAAACGTCTCGATTATAAATAAAGTTTTGATAAAATTCCTGTTTAAAAAATATGTGATATATAATTCAATAAAAATGTTATCAAACATGCACGTGAAATGTAAATATATATATATATATATATATATATATATATTATATACTGGAGCCCAACCAACACAGGAATCGCGTTAGAGAATAATACATATCTCAAAACGTTCTTTAATGGGCCGTCAGAAAGCCTTACGTGGTGATGAGATGATACTTTTTAATATTTGGGCCTGAAAAAAACTTGTTTATGGGCTTTTGAGAGTGTCATGCTGTTCATCAGATGGGGAAGCGAACTACCTGTCGTTTTTTTTCATTCATGATTCTCAATACAGTTGAGGATTCTATCACCTAAAAAAAGATAAATCTACAAAATACCATTTGGTGTTAAAAAAAAAAAAAAAAGACGAAACAGAGGTGAATACAAGGGAATAAAGAGACGATCAGATGTAGAAAAATCAAAATGGACGAGTCTTGCAAAATTTATCAAGAGATATGTTGAAAATTTGACAAAATTATATAATACTATGTGATATTTAGATTTGATTTTATTTCTATCTTTAGATATTTATGTTAATTCAATAAGATATTTTGTAATTCTATTTCTATCTATAAATATTGTATAATTTGAGGTTGAATAATGATAATTTCTAACCGTTTTAGTACAAAAAAAGGGTATAATGAAGGAAAACATTGGCATGCATGTAAAAAAAGCGAGGCATGACATAATAATGGTGTGATTGGTTGCGTGGGAATTAGGGTTTTATTAGTGGAAACATGAAAGCAGTTCGATGTTGGGAAAAGCACGCAGAACCAAACAAAAGACCTATATATATTACATATATATATATATATATATATACACACACACACGACACAATATTTCATATATCACATTCTTCTCCTCTTCCTTTTGACTATTTTCTTCTCTTTTTTTATCCTTTTGTGCAATCTTCATCAGGAGGGAGTGAGACATTTCGGTTAAAATCGAATCGATCATAATAAAATCTTATTTAATTATATATTATATATTCGAAACGATCGAAATTGATATAAAATTGGAATGGATATAAATTTTTGAAAAATGAAAAATTCAAACTTGAACAAGACATAAAAATAACCAAAAGACCTCAAACCAGAACGAAAATAAATTGAATCCAACATATTAACCGAAAATTATTAGATACAATTTGTATAAAACCAAAAAATCTAGATCCGAAAATAATCGGACCCAAGTCAAAATCTGAAATATCCACACCTTATATGCAAAGATTATAGAAAACACGCGATGTGGTTTAAATCATATATGCAAGGATTATGGATTCGAGAAAATCGAGCTTATTTTACGATCTCATCCTTGTTATTTCTCTCGTAATTATTTAAGCTATAAGTTTTTTATATTTGAGTGGTGCCTATACAGAAAGCTACACTATTTCTCTCTCTATATTTTTTATTTATGTGGTCTGTAATCTATTTTGAACTAAGCCGACGATTAATCATAGATAAATTGACAATCCAATTTATCAGTTTTAATGATACAATTAGTGGGCGAGCAATTGAAGGGGGCACTTAATGTACAAAGTAAGCATCTTTCTGTGGTAGATAATGTATACTTTTAAAAAAATTTGATTACATTATGTATTTCTCAATTATTGAATGAAAAATAGTAAATTATATGCAGAAAATATGATTTGTGTGTATAATATAGTACGTAGAACAATATAATATGGGCTAACGTTTTTTTTTTAAAGACCGCCGACTAAATATACCTAATTCTCTTGAAAAATATTATCGTTTTTTGCTACTTTATTTTTGTTTTCGGCCGAGTTTAGTCAAAGAAAACTAAAGTTACCCGCAATGCAAAGACAAAGCAATATATATATATATATATATATATATATATATATATGTATATATGCATTATTGAAGCAAAAAGATTAAGGAATACTAAAAATAAAAAATGGATAATATATTATATAATCATATAATGTCCATTCATGAAGGTACTCATGGAGTTTCGTTTGCGTCTGCCTCATATCAAGCGCATGGATATCATGTTATTATTTGCACGATTTATAATAAATTTGTAGATAACTAGATATCAGAATTGGGAGTTTATGGATAAACTAATATGTACGAAAACATAGACACTCATAAATTAATTCGCATGTGCCAATAAACATAAATGAATAATTAGGAATTGTGAGTAGAAGAGAGTCAGTTTTTTGGGTCGGAACGGTTATTAATTTCAAGAATTGCCAATATATCGGGAAATAATTCTTACAATTTGTATTCAATTAAAAAAGCAATCTAATTATGATATTTATAATTCTTTCTAATATAATGAAGGGATCTTAACATATTTATATATTAGTTACACATTCTCAAATTGTTACGTGGAAACTGCGTATGTCTAATTTATCTATTTTATTTTTTTGTATTTTTGCTTGTTAGTGTATTAGTAAAATGACTATATATATATATATAGTAAACGATTATACAATCAAAGGAGATATCTTATGTATGAAATAATATTTTCATAAAACTTAATTTGAGGAAACATCCGACAGTCCAAGAAACAATACAGCTATATTCACCTACCATCACGATGCTAAAGGCACGGATCCATATGACACAAAATAAAGAAAAAGATGCTTTGATGATTAATTATAATTATTTTTACTTTTTCACCGTTATATATTTGCACATTATATTATATTACATTATCGGCACGCCAGACATAGAATGGTCATCATGTTTTGCATCCCCATCATTCTCGCTTTTTTCATCATCTCCGATCCCCACATTTCCATAATGCACGTGTATCTATGTCTCTCTGCGTGTATTCACACGGATTGAAAATTCTCAAATTTTGTATATATATGTGACCAATCTAATCATATGACCCTGTTACCCATATGACATAAATTTTTATACAAAAACATACAATATATATATATATATGTGTGTGTGTGTAAAACCATTGGAAATCGATCGATGTGGGAAAACATTAACTTATTCGGTTTTGGAATTACAAACTTTTTGGAACACATCACGCAAAGTTCTTATATGTGACCTTAACATAGATAACGTAGTCTATATTGACAATATATATATATATAACATAACATTGAACTCCGTCGAGGAATTAGCCCTAGGCGCTGAGCAGTGATGAGTTGTGGCTATGGCGAAGTGAAGGAGATGAAGAAGAAGAAGGAGGCCAGAACTGAGCGAACTTGACTTTGGAGATGCTGTTGAGTACTCCCAAAGGCGTTACATTTCCGACCACTGTCACCTTCTTTGTCGCCAAATCTATATCGAATGACGTCACCCCTGTCCCAGCATCATCATCAGTCATTACACATTTTCATCAACAAACATTATCCTTGATTAATTTAATATAATTACGTGATTTGCTTGGCATTTTCTCTTGGTTACAATTCTCGTTCACCTAAAAGTAAAAGCTTTGTCTTTGGCTTATTATTACAAGGCGCCCTATGTTCAGGAAATTAAGGACTAAACTACGATATATAGGATGGTAATTTGGTCGGATAGAGAAGGGAATCGTACCTTCCATTTTTGAGATGTGCTTTCTAACCTTTCCTTCACAACCCTTGCAGTGAATTGATACCCTCAAGACGACAACCTGCGAATTCCACCAAGAATTTAAATTTTTTTTAAAAAGATCTTTTGATAGGCAAGTAAAGCAATATAATGTCAATATTCTGGAAAATAAAAAAAGTGCTAAACGTGTACAAATGAACATTTCATTTCTGGAAAATAAGTTATAAATGATCTTTTTTATATGAAAAGCGAATCCATGTGGTCATTGCCATTTATTGTATAACGGATAAAGTCCGAATATGCCCATAAACTAAATTTCATTGTAGTATATAATATAGTTCAAAAATTATAATCTAAATATCATTTATAATATGTAGTTGGAATATTTTCTGTAAAAGTAACCTGATCAGGAGACTGAGCCGAGGAGGGAGCTTTCATGGAAGAAGACGAAGAAGAAGACGAACAGGAAGAGGAGGAAGAAGAAGAAGTAACGTTGCGGTCACGGAGAGGAATCAAATCCTTGGACCGGTCATTGTAATCTAAGGATAACCATTTCTTATCCAAAGAATCAAGCTTATGATCCTTTAGAAGATATCTCGACGACGACGACCCGAGAGAAGTCTTGCTCCTCCTCAGGTCGCTGGCGTCAGCAGAACTTTTCCGGCGAGATTCACCGCCGTGAGCGGAGCTTCTCCGGCGAGGATCCACGTCGAAGGAGCTTCGGCAGCTCATTTGACGTGGAAGAGGAATCGACGGCATTTCCGAAGACGACATGCAGCGAACGTAGAACTTGTCGCTATTAGGGTTTTGAGTACGGCGGCGCTCGAAGGGTCTCCGACCGCCGCAGGTGGAATCTCCGGAATGATGGACCGTGCTCGATCGTACGGCCGTCGACGCCGGAGAAGAGCAGAAAATATCTGTGACCCTCATCTCCCCCTCTCTCTCTCCCTCGAGCAAACACACGCACACTTGAAATGTTTGTGAAGAGAAGAAGAGTGGTGATTACATGAATAATGAGATTGAGACCTACTCACGTAGATTTTAAAGAGGGCATGCGACTGATTATTACTTTTATTATTATTTTTTTAGAATAAAAATTAGATAATAAAATGGGCCCCACGAAGAGTGTGGGAAAAGCATGCTTTGGACGATGTAGGATCAATCTGGATTCTGCACCTTCTAAATTGTCATTTCACTTTTGTTTAATTTAATTTAATTTAATCCATGATTATTATTATAAGAAAAGTTTGAAAACATTTAATCCACTGCTTAAAGCGCTTCCTAACAAAGGTCATTTTGTTCATTACACGCATTAATGCCATTCATATTTAGCCATACGGTTAGGTGAATAAATTTGGACTATCTGTTACATATTTTATCAAAACTATAAATTCCAATAATGACCTTTTTAACAAAATTAAAACTCCTACAGTGGTTCGCTAATTATATATCTTTGGAATCTATTTTAGATATAGTAATTATCAAACAATTCAATTTGGTTGTTATTATTTGAGTTTAGGAAATTATATGGTTATATTTATTTTACTGTTGAATACAAATAATCCGTGGTTATTACTATATATGTATTTAAATACGGAGTATCAAATATTTCTTTTGGTCGACGTCTTTCTTTGGTTATATTAATTATATATAAAAATAACATTTTTAATGTTCATGAGAAGTAATTTAAACATTCATATACAATAATGACATATTTGCAAATCCTTCACAGGTGTTTTGCAACTGCATGTATTATATGATATAATCATTATAAAAAAATATATACCAGATACTGAGCTAATCAACGCAATACTAAAACCATAGTTTAAAGAATTTAATATTTCTAATTAACTTTTACCGTGACGTAAAAAAGAATTGTGATTGGCACATGCTGTATCATCTGACACGCAGTACACAGTAGCATTAATATATCCACTAAAAAAATGGCAGTATAAATTTTTTAAAATTATTTTTATTTAAATTAAGAAAAAGATATTTGAGGTTGGGGGGACAAATGTTAAAAAGTTAGAGATACAACTTTAATCTGAAATGATTACTGTCACGAACATAAAACTTCGAACCTAGACACTAATATCATAATTAACGTATAATTAGTGCCATTCATTAAAATATTAACCTATATTTCTCTTTTTCATCGGCTATATTAATATCTATAACTAACGATTGAAATATAGTTACAAATTTACTTGAATAGGTAAAATCTTTTCAAGTATTCAAATATAATTTTTTTTTTAAACAAGGTGGCCATTTCGGTTAGTGTAAAACCAAATCAAATAAGAATAATGGTATTTGATTATTATTATTATTATTATTATTATTATTATTATTAAGATTATTATTATTATTATTAAGAATATATCTGAAATAATTATGAAAATAAAAAAAAATTGGAAAAAATGTTGTTTTGAACATAGATATTAAAATTGAATTTGAACTCGTTATGATAAAAAATGAAATAAATACAGTTTATTTTCAATAAAAATATTTTTAAAAAATTAAAAACAAAATACAAAATATCAACGGAAAACTATTCATAATCACAAAAAGAAAGAGAAAAATAAGAAAAATGCTGACATCACGGTTTTGGGTTTTACAACCAACAAGTGATTTTGGTATTGTACGTGAGAATATGATTAGTTTTTAATGCTCCAATAGTTTAATTATGCTTTCGTCTAATTACACTTGATATTTTTGAAATGTATAAATGGGCCTTCCTTAATATCAGAAGAAACATGGGCCTGCTTGTTTGATCCATATGACCCATTTTCAAATCAATTGCAGAAGATGAACCAAAACTCGTTAACGATTATATATACATGCGATGCGAATCTAGATTATAATTACAAGTACAGGCGATTCGCTTTACTTATTTTAAATAATTAATATAAAATTAAATAATCGTATTAATTTTTCGTAATCCCCAACAAAAATAAGTTTCTATTTTTCATTTTTTTTAATCAGATTAATGATATTTCGATAATAAAAATTTTAAAATAAATTTATCAAGTTATTGATATTTCGATAACAAAAATTTAAAAATAATAACATTATTTTATCAGATTAATGATATAGAATCATCCTACTTATTTAGATTAATTAATACAAAATTAAAAAATCGAATTAATTTTACATAAATCTCCAACAAAAATAAGATATTATATATCAAGAGTTAAATATAGAAAAGAATCTAAGGTATTTTTCACTAGCTTATATATGTACACAGATCATATCATGTGATATTACTTTTATATATACGATACGATAATATTGCTAAGCATGTATAAGAAAATTATGATAAGAATTATTATAATACATGTGACTTATTTTAGGGAAACTCAACTTTTCAATTTCCCCCCCAAAAAAAATCTAAACTCTATTTTTTCCAAATAAAACCCGAACTTAACCTTTAAGATGAAAAAAAAAAAACCTTAACTTTATAAAATTTATCATTTTGGGTTTTATTTGATAAAAAAATAAATTGAGTTTTTTTTTGAGAAAATTGAAAAGTTCCATTACGACAGTGGACCAAATGCGATAGATGATAAATGGGAATGGCCTTTGACCGATGAGAAGGTCGACTCCTCTCAAAGTCTGGTATCAATCTTTGTCATCCTTTATTAAGGGTACAATTATTGTATTAGTCCCATCGAGTTAAATATTATCTACTTCATAATTAAATAGATATTGGTAGAACCATTTTTTTTAATCAATAAATAAAAATGATTTAGCCTTGCTGGTAATAAATACTAGTCTCTTTCCGCATAACCTAAAGTCGTCAATATCGACCGTCGAGTCTTGACTTATTTGGAAAACTCTTAAAATCGCATTGTTATTATTTGTGTATCCATGTTAATTTGCCCCTCCACCTATTTGACTGCATTGATAGTTTTTCGTCATTATTCATCCAACGACCAACCAATTACCACCTTAGTCATTAAAAGACGACACGTGGTTAAGTATCCGTAACCGCTATGATTTGAATTTGTCATAATACCATTTTCCCATGCATCGGTTTAGTCTGATATCGTTTAGTATTGGTTAATAGAAGTTCATTTGGTTAAGGTTTAAACTTTTTTTTTAAATGATTCAAATTATGTAATTTTTTCTGTGTTTCAGTTTAATATCAAAACATGAATATGTATTCATGTTTTGATCTCTATATAGATTTTAATATGGTATTAGAAAATCAATATTTTGTTTATAAATAGATTAATATTAATGTTTTATATGCTCCGTTTTTCTTTCCTCTCTTACATTTTTCAGGGTTCTAATCTTTTCTTGAAATACTTCCCATTAATTTATTGTTTAAATTTTTTCTACTAGATTATTTTTTTTATTTGTTGTTGTAGAGGATTTATCCTCGAAAACTCAAAACGAAAGAGAAATGACACAGCGATGTGCGAGTTCGGTCACCAAGTCATGCTTGGACCTATGTCTCGGGAAGAGGAAATTGCGTGTTTTGCTAGGGCTACAACCGGAGAGACGGGAAGTCGATCGGAATCGACCTAAGACGAACAGAGAGAAAAATGGCAATCGCCGCAAGAGAGAGAAACTGAGAACAATTCTGAGAGCCAAAACGCAAAACCTATAACCCTCGGCCTTACAGAATGACCGAAACGCCTCTCCGTTCTTCGAAAGCTTCTGACTCGCCTAGAGGCTTCGAAAACCTCTTCTTCGCCTAGAGGATTCGCTGAAGACAATCCCACAGTTGTCTTCTTTGGTTAAAAAAAAAATACGAGTTTTGAAAAAGTAAAGTGCACATAGTAATCAATATATACGCACCAATTACTATCATATTTCACTTGTGACAGGAAAAGCAAAAGCTTTCACGAAAAAAATAAAAATAAAAGATAGTTGTGGCAAAGGCAGTTAAAACGACGTCCATTCATAATTTTTTTTAGACCGGAATTAACATCTCCAACTGGTTGGCTATGCAACAAGTCATTACTACATAGCTGTCTTCTCGTGCCCCTTTGTCTTTTCTCTTATATATATATATATATATATATATATACACTACCTTCGCAATCTTAGCCACAATATCAAAACACACACAGAAATAAGAACCAAAAAAAAAAAAAAATGGATCTTCTCATTCTCCTGTGCTCCCTTCTCATCTCTTACCTCATCTTCAAGATCTGGAAATTCATAGACTCAAAGCGAGACCAAGAATGCTACATATTGGACTACGAATGCTACAAGCCCTCCGACGACCTAATGGTGAGTACCCATCTCTCCGGCGAGATCATTCGCCGGAACAAAAACCTCGGACTCAACGAATTCAAGTTTCTACTCAAAGCCATCGTCAGCTCCGGCATCGGAGAACAGACCTACGCTCCAAGGCTCGTCTTGCAAGGCCGAGAAGAGAATCCGACGGTACGAGACGGGATCGAGGAGATGGAGGAGTTTTATACCGACAGCGTGGGGAAACTCCTTCGCAGGAACGGAGTTTCGCCTCGGGAGGTCGATGTTCTTGTCGTGAACGTCTCTATGCTGGCCTCGGTTCCTTCGCTGTCGTCGAGGATCATAAACCATTACAAGATGAGGGAGGACGTCAAAGTCTTCAACTTGACGGGGATGGGATGCAGCGCGAGCCTTATATCGATCGAAATTGTCAAGAACATCTTCAAGAGCTACATGAACATGACCGCTCTTGTGGTAACGTCCGAGTGTCTGAGCCCTAATTGGTACAGTGGCAACAACAGGTCGATGATCCTCGCGAACTGTCTATTCCGGTTGGGAGGATGCGCCATTCTGCTGACAAACAACCGAAGCTTGAGCACAAGAGCCATGTTCAGGCTCAAGTGCATGGTACGGACCCACCACGGGTCGAGGGACGACTCGTACAACTGTTGTGTCCAGAGAGAGGACGAACATGGCCGAGTCGGGATCCACTTGGACAAGAGCCTGCCGAAAGTCGCGACACGTGCTTTCGTCGAGAATCTCAGAGTCATAACACCGAAGATCTTGCCCGTGACCGAGCTCCTGAAGTTCATGTTACGTCTCATGGCGAAAAGGATAAGCAGAAACCCTAGAAAGGGTTCATCAGCGACGAATCTTGCACCCAAGATAGGGATCGACTACAAGAGAGGGATTGATCATTTCTGCATTCACACGGGAGGCAAAGCAGTGATAGATGGGATAGGTTACAGCCTGGATTTGTCGGAATATGATCTGAAACCTGCGAGGATGACGCTCCATAGATTTGGGAACACATCGGCGAGTAGCTTATGGTACGTTTTGGCCTACATGGAGGCGAAGAAGAGGCTCAAGAGAGGAGAAAGAGTGTTCATGATAAGCTTTGGAGCAGGCTTCAAGTGCAACAGCTGCGTTTGGGAGATCGTGAGAGATTTGGGTCTTGACGATGATGGTGATGGAAATGTCTGGAAACATTGCATTGATGATTATCCACCGAAATCTATATCAAACCCTTTTTTGGAGAAGTATGGTTGGATCCAAAACGAGGATGATCCGGAGACTTTCAAGTTCCCAGATGATCAACCACACGATTAATTATTTCTATAAAAAAAATACGGTTTTTTTTTGTTTTAACCCTTTTATATAATTACATTTTACAAAAGGCAAGTATATTAGTGTGATTTTATGTAGTTTCTTTTTTTGTGAGTGTGTGTTTTATAAATTCTTAATTGTATTCCTTTTTTGTGGATTTGATACGATAATATAAACGCATTCCAATACCGATTATTACTCTTGATCGGAATATGAACGCTTTTTTTTAAAAAAAATTTGTATTTTGTGTGTTATGACATGACACGAGACATGTGGTGTTGTTTTTTTTTAACGTGAAATTTAGAGGGCAAAAAAAAAAAAGGGAACTTAAATACAGAGTTCGAGTAAAGGGAACGAGGTTTGGTACGCAGTCATTCAATGGCCATTTGATTTCGCCACCAGATTCCGGGCCCCACGTCTTATCCATAAAGATAAAGAAAATCACCTAATCAAACCCTAATTACATTACATTATAACAAATAAATCTCATTGAAATACATAAAATCTACCAAATAAATACTTGACTAACTTTATTCCATACAAATACAGACAACTGAAATATCTACATTTTGAGAATAATAACTATTGACATCGATTATATATATATATATATATATTGAAATACATAAAATTTGATATATTTTAACGTTATTATTATTCTTGTGGAAATTCATCAATATTTCGAAATTTCGATGCACATGTATATAGAGAAGCAAAAATTAATATATTTTCAATCTAACATAAAGTTATATAAAGAGAGAGATTAGGAAGAAGAACAATGAATAGAAAAAAAAAAGAAATTTGGAAACAGCTAATGATAGGACACCAAATAAATTGGGCGGTCCTATAAATCACATTTTTCTCAATTACAATTCCAAACAAAAAGTTATTGTCCTCTGGCATACGGTCATTCATTGGGCCTTCTATTTGTGTCTGCCACGTGGCATCTGTAGATCCCGTTGATTACTTCAAAACCTCAACGGATCTGATCGATTTCACTTGACTTCTGTAACGTTAGCATTAGTTAATTTAATTTCGCTTTATGTTTCCAAATAGTGTTATATAGTTAAGATTGAAACTGAAAAAAACTAAATTTAGATTTTAAATTACTATTATTTAGTGGTAATTGAAAATTCTAAAATAAATGCATACATGCACATGATTTTTGGACACAATACAGAGTAAAAATACAAACAAAAGAGTTGAAGCTCAGGCCCAATGGACCTGTGCCCTCAGCATAAGAAGCCCATATATTTTTTGGGGTTTCAGCTTTTAAGTCATCAATAACATAAAATAAATAATAATAAAATATATTTATGACGTCATGTGAATATGATTGTTCAATGGTTTTTTTAGCTTTAGAATGTTAAGATATTTTTCGAATTCATAAATACATTTATTAAGAGAGTTCAGTCTCTTAATTTATAAATTCGAATGTGATATCTTACAAATCCAGCATTTCAAGTAGACTGTGTTGTATTCTTTTAAACTAAATATCAACAGAGAACAATTTTATTGAATTAAAGGGCAGATTGTAATATATTTATTTTATTATTATAAGTTGCGTCAGCTTTTAACCCTTAGAGATTAACAGTTTTTGATTGTTGGAAAAATATACAATATAATATCAAATCTCTCTCGAAATTACATATATAATTAGATATCAACAAAATTTGTAACTGAAATCGAATCAAATATGAAAAAATCTTTTTAAAAAATAATTTACGAAAAGAATTCGAAAAGTTGCGTCAAGACTTGTTTAGAACAGGAGCTACATACATGCATGCAGATGAACCGAGTCGAAATACTTTTGTTCGAGACATCACATGCGACTTGCACGTGCGAATAGTTTTTTTGTATGCAAAATGCCACTGTGTCAGATACTTTGTCACTTTTACAATGTATATTTGAAATTAGCTCTACATGTGTATGAATAATATCATGTATGCTATATTTTATGAAGTCCTCGTTCCTTCACCACTAAGTATGAATCCAAATTTAAATAATTCAACTGGTGAAATAGGATGTAAAATATTTGTTTCGTCCTAAATTCGAATCTCAAGTTTAGAAAATGAGCATATAATCCAAATCATATGGTTGATTTTCGACCAAAAATTAGTCTCAATCTCGATTCAGAATATCCGGTTACCCAAAATAATTACTTTTGTATGACATGATTTGCAATAAAACCATATATATATATATATATATTGGTAAAAAGAATAAATTAAATTTATTTAAATGATGATGGAGAAAAATATCGTATATATGAATAAATTTCTAAAGTTATTATATACCATATTTTTTTAATATATAATTTCTAAACTAGACAATTTCTTCTAAAATTATTAAATGTTTACAGTTTTATGTCTTCGTCATCATCGTCTTGACTTCATCATCATTTCGAGAGTAAAATGGATGTTTTTCAAATTAAAATAATAAATTAGCGGTGAATCGTTTTTGTCGTTTTGGGATTCCCATGTGCCATGCTATATCTTCATATGGCCCAAACATGTTGACAAATCAAAATATTACATTATCATTATTTTTTGATGGAACCCCAAATGCGGGCGGCTAATTTGGTTGTATGAATATGTTATCATTTTTTTTTTGCTAAAATGAATATGTTATCATTGTTTCTTGATTTTTTTAATTATCATACGATCGTAAATTTGAATATTACCTTGTTTATTTTCAATGTTTAAGAAAATCAATTCTTATGGGAGCGATAATGGATTAAAATTACATATAAAAGTTTAAATATATATATATAATAGTTTAAAAAGATCTTAAAAGACAAATATAAAAATAAATAAAAACAAAAAAATAAACAAACAGTATTATGGAATATCTAACTATGAAAACAATTGGGATGTTGTGTTGAGTGGCGTGTGTGCCACATCTCACTATCTTTTTTTTCCCCTTCCACCACTTAATATACTATCTAAATAATAAAAGTTGACATTTTTTTCTTTATAAAATTTTTTATGTAGCAATCAAGTATTTAGTTAAATATATTAAAAAAATTACCTCCATGTTATCTTCCTTTTCGTTTTGAAACTTTTTGTTACCTTGAAGCTTTCATGACCAAAAACATTTTAGCACACTATTTAATAATGCCAAGGGAAATCCAAAAGAAAAAAACTGAATTTTTCAATTTTGACAAAAAAACACCGAACTTTATTTTTGTTAATTCGAAGTTTTCATGACCAAACATTTTTAGGATGAAACATTTTAGCACTTTATTTTTTAAAATTCAGTGTTTTTTTCCCTAACGCTAAGCACGTCCAATTGCTCTAAGATATACATTTTTTTTTGTATAAAATGGTATTGTTTAAATGGTTTAAGAGTATTCTGATATTGTAATATTCTTATTTAGAGGTAAAAAAAGGAACAATATTCTAAAATTCATTTTTTGAACAAAATTAGAATAATAATAATTTTTTGTCACATTTTCCATTATATATTATAAAGATAATTAACATCTAAGCGAAGGAAGGAATCTGAGGATCTTTTTCTTTACCAATGAACACTTTTTTTTTTTATTTCATTAATTCAGAATTAATATTACAAAATACTGCACAAAAATTAAAAACATAGTGTGTATGTGTGTGTGTGTATATATATATATATATATTACCTTTTTAATTGGTGAAGGGTGTCATGATCCCCACCTTTCACGAAAGTCATGCCTTTTATTGTTTTAGATTCCGCCTTTGCGCATTACCTAATCTTTTTCTATATACGTATCTTTACTTTTATGGGCAGATAAAATTTCATTAAAAAAAAAAATCAAAGAATGGATGTTATGGGGTAGTATATTTATATGTATGAATGTTGGATGACAATAATAACGTGCGTGCTCACATACACACACACACACATAATATATATGTACATATATGTAATAAATGTACGTACGCCCTTATACAATAGAAAAGAAACAGGGAATGATGGCCGTTGCTTTGCACATGTGCCTTTCATACCGAAGAGATGCCATATTTAAAACCTGCAATGATAATATTTCTTCAAGTTCTTGTCCTTTATATTCTTTTTTTCTCTTGATGATTCCTAAAACAAGAATCTTATTTTGCTTTCCGATTCCCGTTCTCTTTTTCTGTTGTTTTGTTCAAAGTCTTTTCCAAGGTGGTTTCCTTCATATAGAGATTAGGAGTTTATTTTGGTTTTAATATCTCCATTATATAAGGGAGCCTTTTGTTTTCATTGATGGAAGAGATGGGGCAAGGCTCCTTACTTCAAACCATGGTAAGAAGAATGCACATATATTATCCTTCTCTTCTCGCATTTAATCTTTTCTCTTGTTTGCTGCTGAATTGACGGGAAACTGATGAAATCCCAACGAAAATGGAAGAAAGCTCGAAAACCCAGAATCTGTCTGTTAGTTTCGGTTCGCGGGCTCGTACTCTTTTCACATGATACACATATGGTTTCTGGAGATGCTGTTAATCGGTTCACTGGTCGGAATTTGTTCTTTTTTGTGTTCTTTTGGTGGGTTAAGGTTTGTTGGGTGGGATGATCGTGCAGGGCTGTAACCTAGGAAGCGTTCGGGTCGCAGAAAGGACATGGGAGGTGGGAAATCAAGTTCACAACTTTTCTGCATAACCCAAACTTGAAATCGCCATTTTTTACGAGCCTCAATAGAAAAAGTTGTGATCTTTGAATCGAAATGTGCGATTTATGATCTGGGTTTTAGCTGGAAAGAGGATCAAAGACCTGGGTCGATCGTCTCCATCGATCTGAAGTCAGCCCTCATAGAGAGGGTTTAGCCTTTGGTGATTTAATCAGAATGGCAGAAAACCAAGAAATAGCGGCTACTCCTCCTCCACCTCCTCCTCCTCGGATGATGAAGAAAATGGCCAAGCAATTGACCGGAAAACGGGAAGACACGCCGTTGCATTCGGCGGTGAGAAGGGGGAGTCTCGAAGGTGTCGTCGAGATTCTCACGAAGACAGGAGAGATTGAGTTGAGGGATTTGTTGGGGAAACAGAATCAACCCGGAGAAACCGCCCTTTACGTCGCAGCAGAGTATGGCGATGTAGAGATTGTGAAGGAGATGATAAAGTACTACGATCTTCCTTTAGCTGAGATCAAAGCAAGGAACGGCTTTGACGCTTTCCACCTTGCTTCCAAACAAGGAGATCTTGGTACGCAACTGAAAATCACCCGATCAAAATCGATACTTTTCAAGATTTAGATTCTGTAACACCTCATCTGAACCCAATCGTTTTGTATATATATGTGTGTGTGCGCGTGTGTGTCTAAGATGTGTTGAAGGTATTGGCAGAGGCTCACCCAGAGCTAGCCATGACAGTGGATCTATCGAACACGACGGCTCTGCACACGGCAGCAACGCAAGGCCACTCGGAAGTTGTGGACTTTCTGCTGGAACTCGGAAGCGGTCTGGTGAGTATAGCCAAGAGCAATGGGAAAACGGCGTTGCACTCTGCGGCCAGAAACGGGCATGTGGAAGTGGTGAAAGTCCTTTTGGAAACAGAACCAGCCATTGCTGTCAGGACAGACAAGAAGGGTCAGACTGCACTTCACATGGCGGCTAAGGGAACAAACGTTACGGTCGTGGAGGAGCTCATCAAGGCGGATAGGTCATCGTCGTCATCTTCCATCAATATGGTCGACACTAAGGGTAACACGGCTTTGCACATCGCCGCCAGAAAGGGCAGAACTGAGGTCAGTGAATCTTGAAACTCTTTCTCCGAGTTCAATTTTGAAAGTAGAGGTGGGCGTTAATCAGTACCCGAGTTCTATGAGGGTATCCGGCCTTGGCCTCTCTTCCACGGGTTTTATGACCGAAATATCTCGGTCCATGTACCCGAAACCGCAAAAGACGTGTAAATTTTTATCGACCGATCAAACTTGACACATCTGTTGTGTTGGTGAGACAGATCGTTAGGTTGCTACTTGCCAACGACGTGACTGACACGAAAGTGGTTAACCGATCAGGAGAAACAGCTCTGGACACGGCGGAGAAGATCGGGAACCCCGAAGTGGCGGAGATATTGCAGACACACGGTGTTCAAAGCGCCAAGACCATCAAACCGCAGTCTCATAACAATCCAGCTCGCGAGCTGAAGCAAACAGTGAGCGACATCAAGCACGAGGTGCATAACCAGCTCGAGCACACCCGAAAAACGAGGAGACACGTTCAAGGAATAGCCAAACAGCTCAACAAAATGCACACAGAGGGTCTGAACAACGCGATAAACTCGACGACAGTAGTGGCCGTCCTGATAGCGACGGTGGCATTCGCGGCAATATTCACCGTCCCGGGCCAATACGTGGATGACCCGAGAGAGGGAGAGTCGCTTGGGGAAGCGAACATAGCGAAGAGAACGCCCTTCATAATATTCTACGTGTTCGATTCGATAGCGCTGTTCATATCGCTGGCGGTAGTGGTGGTCCAGACATCAGTGGTGGTGATAGAGAGCAAGGCGAAGAAACAGATGATGGCTGTAATAAACAAGCTCATGTGGATGGCGTGCGTTCTTGTCTCGGTTGCGTTCTTGGCTCTGTCGTTCGTGGTGGTGGGGGAGGAGGAGAGATGGTTAGCCATTGGAGTGACCGGAATCGGTGCGAGTATAATGGTTACGACATTGGGGACGATGTGTTACTGGGTGATCCAGCATCGGATCGAAGCCAGGAGTTTAAGGAGATGTTCTATGAACAGCAAGTCTGGATCTTGGGCCATCTCCTCTTATGTATCTGATTCTGATGTTCTTAACAAAATGTACGCAATCTGATATGTAATAAAATGTGCCAATTGCATTAAATTTGTTTTTTTGGTTATCAGAAATTCTAAATTCCAACAGCAGATAAATAAGAACAAGGAAGAATCTGGGAGAGAGGGGAAATGGCTAACGTATACAGCCACAGCATCTCTGGAAAATCCACTCTAACCTGTTGGATCATTGGAAAGACATCTACTTTAGCAAGAACATAACATTGCAGAGAGAGAGAGAGATTACTTACAGAAGGTGAAGACAAGAAGAAGTGGGTTTGTCGGGCTGGGACGACATCAACAGCGAAGTTTTGTGGTCCAAAGAGAAAACAGAGGGAACCTTCTTGTCGGAATCCTGCGTAGAAGTGGAAGAAAACGGCGGAGACATAGACTCGGCCGACGATGAAAACACGTAACTTTGACAGCCAACTCCGTAACTCACCGGAAGCAGCGGCGACTGCAGTGTTTCCGGCGACGATGACAGCACTCTTCCTCTTTCATCCTCCTCCTCCATTCTTCCTTCTTCATATGCATATTCTCTTTGTTTTTTGTTCCTATTTAATTACTCTCCTGACAGATTTTTGAACCTTAGGTGTGAACCTAACAGTCCACGACTAGCTTCTACTATATATAACATCTTCCAACTCCTCCTCCT